GTATGATTGCATATGTATAATACAACTATATGTGCATAATTATATATGTACTGTATTCTACATATAGTGATATATAGAATATGTATATGTAACTATAGTTACATATATATATATACACACACTATATATATATCACTGAGCGTGTGTGTGTGTGTGTGTGTGTGTGTACGCGCGCGCAGAGAGAGAGAGACCCCAAGAAATTGGAATTATCTTTTGGAGGGAGGGCCCCTTGGAGAACAGGCTTCTCCTGTTACATGAGTGTTCTAGGAATCCATCAGCATCAGTATAACTACTAACATTGTTGTGAGCTTCAGTGAATTTTTTCTTGTGTATGGAGATTCTTTCAATGTGCTTGGCCATTTCATGATGGGTGATTTATGAGTGTATCTACCCACACTGTGCTGAGTGTTCATCATTTTTTGACCAAAATTGCCTGTCTCCTTACCCACCCTCTATATTTACTGAATCTCACCCATAATGATTTTTTTTGTTTCTCCGATGAAAAAGTCCTCAAAGGGAAATATTTTGCTGAAGTGGAAGACATGAAACAAAAAACAGCAGATACACTAAAAGACATCAAAATTGATGAATTTTAAAAGTGTTTTGAACAGTGGAAAAAAAAATCTCAATAGATGTATTGCATCAGAGAGTACTTTGGAGTTGACTGAAGTTTAAACATGTAAGAACAAATACACCAATTTTTATAGGTAAAATTATGGTTTTGGGGGTTCCTCTTTGTATTTAACATTTACATGTGTGTATATAAGTATTTATATATGTATAATTATATAGGTGTATATATATATATAATTATATATATACATATATAATTATATAGGTGTATATATATATACACAAACCTATATATATAATTATATAGGTGTATATATAATATATATAATTTTTTAACCAACTTAGTGAAGAGTGGCGTGTCATTCCTTGCCACCCGTGGTGTCTATTGATAGCAGCAGCTGCTTTGGGTACCTGACTGAAGTTAAGAAAGTGGGCAGGCAGGGACAGTGCAGAAGAGCTCTGCCACCTGGTGGGGGAGGCAGGGGTTAGATGTATTTACGCACTGAGAGGAGGCAGCCATACTTCACTGTGTCTATACTACCGGCACAGAAGTAGAGAGCCGTCTGGTTCTTTTGGGTCGATGTCACAGTGAGAGGAAAGAATGCCTTCTTCTCCCAAGAGGCACTGTAGCTTTCAGTTAGCTATGTCTCCTTTTTGAACATCTTTTACAACTTGTGAGTAGTAAATCAGTCTCAGCCCTTGCCGTGGGTCCGTCAGTACCAGTACATGGCTTTGTGATTCAAAATCTGTTCACATTCCAGAATCACAGCCTGTCCTTCCTTTCTAAACAAATATTTTGGGACTTGAGTGATTCTACCATCCATGATTCCTGGGGAAGAAAGAGAAAAATGCTGGAGACAGAGTCCAGGGAGGTGTCTGGTGCTGCTGTCACTGGGGAAATGCTTGGATCTGGAGCTTGGCCCACTGAGGACAGGAATTTGCTCTCCGAACGAACCCAAGACTCACCTGCTCCTAGGAGACAAAGGGCCACACAGCAGAGTACCTGGCTGCTCACAGTGAAAAAGGTGTCTCCTGGCAGATCCAAGTGCTTGTTGGAAAAGAATGAGAAAAGAGGTTGAGCTCTGAGCCTCCCCCTGGCTTCACATATGGACTTTGTCAGAAGGCTGGAAAGAACATTTGGGAGAGTGCTGGGAATACTCAGGACAGGCTCCGTTATTTTGCATATAATGACACAGGTAAGAGTCATTCTCACCTCCCTTACTTATGTACTCCATCTGGGCAGAGAAGGCTGGCACCCCATGTTTCCAAGTCACAATCCCACTCTGATTGGCCTATTGATGTTACCTAGTGTCTGTAACGTTGAAATTACTCAGGAACACTGTAGATACTCTGGTCGTGTAAGAATACAGAATTCATTTATTTTTCCTCTTTTATTTTATTTTTCATTTATTCAAATATCTGCACATATTTGTGTGGTATATGTGATATTTTGTTACATGCATAGAATGTGTAATAAGTCAGGGTATTTGGGGTATCCAACATCTCAAATATTGATCATTTTCTAATACCATCAGTTGTCTCAGGGAAAGAAGTCTGGGTCTGTCCAGAGGTATCTCTGGCTGCCATGACAGTGCGCTACTCAGCTATCCTGCTTCACAGACCAAAGCTGCTGCTGTCCCAGACATATCATGCAATTATGCCAAGCCTTAGCTTCCTTTGAACACCTTCGCTCTGAATGGTTTGACTTCTTTATGCCATTTTCATTCTCTTACTTGTTTCCTTGCCTTTATTTCATGCTGTCGCTTAATTTTTATTTAATGTTATGCTCCATTGGTCATGTTTTAATTTATTCTGTGTTTTTAGGATAATTTATCTTTTTCTTTATTTCGTTCCCAAGATAAGTTCATTTATCTTCTCATTTCTTCTTATTTTTGTTATTTCTCTTCTAGTTTATAAACTCCTTGTTATAAACGGCTTATCATATTCTCAATTGCTTGCTTAACTCTCTATTTAATTCTGTTTGAAATGTAAACCTACATTTTCTCCTGACTTATGATTGTTTTTGAGGTGAGAGTTTTTCTTTGATCTTACAGGTTTAACTTTCTCTTGTTCATTTTGTTACTGGAGTGTTTTACAAAATGTCTCGCACGAACCCTTTGCCATCTTTCTAATACAGTCCAGACTCCTTAGTGAGTTTTGTTTGTTTTCATGGTGAGGCTGCTTGTGAGTCCTTTTAATTTGTGGTTCCTTTTTGTTTTGAAACTCTAAGTTTTTTCCCTTTTTCTCTTCACTATCTGGTTTCCAGAGGACCCTTTTTCTTCTATTTTGCCTATTCTTCTTCCTTTGAAACAATAATCTGTAAGATTGCTCCTTTAAACCACATGTCTGGTACTTTAAATTGCATGGGCTTTAGAATCCCCTTTGACTGAAGCCCTGGTGGAGTCTCAGGGGTTGGTCTTTTTCTGGTGGTCTTTCCAGGTCTCCTCAGGCCTCCAGCTAGAATCCCTCTTCTGTCTTCCTGGAAGATTTTCTGAGTTTTTGGCCTTTCAGGTAGAGTGAGGAAAGGGCAGGAGCTTGTAAAATAATTTTTAAAAATAAAAAAGCAAGTATATTTTTTGATAGAATGACTTGAGTTCCTATGGGTATATTTTCAGGAGAGGTATTACTGGGTCATGTGAAAGGTCGATTTTTAGATCTTTTAGGAATCACCACACTATTTTCCACAGAGGTTGTACTAATTTACACTCCCATCAACAGTGTAGAAGTGATCCCTTTTCTCCACGTCCTTGCCAGCATCTTTTTGTTTTTTAGTTATTAATGATGGCCATCCTGACTAGATTTAGGTGGTAACTCAGTGTGGTTTTGATATGCATTTCTTTGATGATTAGTGACACTGGGCATTTTTAATGTATCTGTTAGCTGTTCATATGTCTTCTTTTGAGAAGTGTCTATTCATACCTTCTGCTCACTTTTTATTGCCCATCAAAACTGAACCAGATAAAGAAAATTGGTATATGTACACAATAGAGTATTACACAGTCATAAAGAAGGACAAAATTATGGATTTTGCAGCAACTTGGATGGATTTAGCTTCTATAATACTCAGTGATCTATCAGAGAAACAAAGAGCTGAGTACCACATATCTTCACTCATAAGTGGACCCTGAATATTAACCATAATACTATTTTAAAGGGATTGGCAGTATTGGGATATTAACAGGGGAGAGGGGTCACATAATATCAATACGGGTATTTGATCTAAAACCAGCAGAAGCAGGGACCAAAGGAAGGCCTAAACTTTACCTGTACAATGATGACCACCTATCTACCTAATCCTGAATTGTATCCCACGTCTTTAAAATAATAAATAAATATAAACAAACACACATACACAGAGAAAATAAAAAAGCAAAAAAAAATGCAGTGAAGTTACAGCTTATACAACATGCTGGTGAAGCTTGACTTAACTCGTTAAATAAGTATTTGAAATGACTTTGCAGTTGTCTGCTTTTTGATTTCCTGAAACTTTTTCATCAAAACAAATGATAATAAACACTTTTCTGCTAGCACTCAGTATCTGTTGAGTGATGAGACTAAAAAGAAAAAGTCACTGAGATAAAAAATTGAGGTGACTTATTTCTTAAGAACAATATCTGCAGGCCGGACCTATCACCTAAATTCCAGACAAATTTATCCAACTGTATTTCCACCATCTCTCACATATTCTATACATTTATAGTAGGAGTTGTTAAACCTAGCATTCATACAAGCCTGCAAAGGCACTAGACAAGGAACAAAACAAACATTATGCCAAAGAGAATACCAAGAAGCATGGAGTGATAAAACAAATATGACCTTTTGTGCCTGGTAAACCTGGGTTTGAATTCTGTTTCTATCACCTATGGGTTTCTTTTCTTCTTTTCCTTCCTTTCTTTCTTTTTTCTTCCTTTCTTTTCTTCTCTTCCTCTCCCTTCTCCTCCTGCTTCTTCTTCTCTTTCTTTCTCTCTCTTTCTTTCATTATTTCTTCCTGGAGTCATATTTCCCCATGGTAAAAATGAAAACAAACAAAGAAACAGGAAGTAAACATTTCTTTTGCTTGATTGTCTCAGTGATTAAATTAGATTTGGAAAGAACAAAATATAGAACTTGATATTCAATATAAAGTAAAAGAAAGAACAGAGTTACTTTGGTCAACAAATATTTCCCCTAAAAAATTGTGCCTAGTTTTAAAAAAATCTTTACAATTTTCAGATGACAGAGTCTTAGTTTCTGAGCATAGACTGAAATGTTCCGAGATGTTTCTATAGTCCTCCACTATTGCCATCCTCAACTTGCAAGCCGCCTTGGAGCTGATTTGCTTGTGATACGAATAGTGTGTCCCCTTTCCCAGCTCTCTGCTGTTTCTGGAGTGGGCCTGGAGGATGTTTGTGCACTAAGAGGATGTGTCTGTGTGCTGACATGAGTGATTAGCTGGCACAGAAATATGCTGCCGAGCCTCCTGGTTCTGCCTGCTGGATATTTAGGATGCTGGGTCCCTCTTTGAGAAATTCATTAGAAAACCACCTCCTTGGCATTCCTGACTTATCTATGATTCTTTTTTTCTGGAGGTAGATCATAAATTTCAAATCTTCCTCCAAGAGCTGCCGATACCAGGAAACATGATTGTATTCTTTCATTGGGCTGCATCTCAGCACTGCCTCCTGTCCTCTCCTTCTGACTGAGTGTCTTGGGTTCTGAGTGACATTGGCATTTGTGAATCCTTAAAGAAGAAGAGATTGCATCAGGCAGAGTAGCAATGGCAAAGGAATGAGTGCCTTACAACAAAGCAGCCCATTTGAATTTCCTGCATTCATTTAAAATCTTACATGAATTTTGCTTTTTACCCCATAAGAACATTATTTGTTTTCATATTAATGTCAATATCTTTCAGAAAATTTTTGGCCAGCGTAGAGTTGCAGGGTATAACTGAGACATGGCTCTAGAACTAGAAACAAAGCCCTGTGATGCCAGTCCATTAGCTTAGAACTCACCTGCTCCCAAGAGCCAGATGGCCACCACCCAGCAGAGGAGTCTGACACCCATGGCAGACGTGGGCACAGAGGTGAGCCTGTAAGCAGGGCTAAGAGGAACACTTGCTGCAGCAGGTCAGGTAACCAAGTCTCACAGCTGCTTTCTATGAGGTGGATCTTCCTGTGAGGTCACCCTTTTCAGTGGGTCCTATCATCTCTAGAACAAATTCTGCATGTCAGTTAAATGGTAGATCCATTCTTCTTAGCTACACACACAACCTGGCATAGTGTATGCTTGGGGAGATAGTGTTGTATAGTAAGTTTTTGAGATAAGCTCCTTCATTTTTGGTTCTTCTTTCTCTCTCCTTTTTCTTATCTTTTGTTTTTTTATTTCCCTTTTATTGGCCCATATCATCTTTCTGTTTTCTGTCTGTTGCTGAATAGAAATATTGACCAGAGATGACATCTAGATACACATATTAAGAGACCAGGGAGTGGAGAACAATACTACTAGAGGGAAAACTGGAGACCACCAGATGAGCCCAAGACTTCTTCTGGAAATATTCGAAATTGCTCTCCAAAGCCATCGATGTAGATGCCCATCTCAGAACACCCTTGCATTGCCCAAAGGGACTTTTCCTAGATACTTTTGGATCTGCTAATTCTCAGGCTGCAAGAGTAGTGCTGAAGTCTACACAGATGTGGGGGAAATAAAAGTCCTGCTCATTATTTCTGAGGTGATTTTTATCACTTAGGGCTCAGAGCAATTCTTCTTGTGTGCAGAAACTCACCACATAACATGTAGATGCTTCCACCAGCTGCTGGTTAACAGTCTTTCATTCTTAGGGCTAAAACCTAGGATAGGAAGCAGATATCTTATCATCCATTTGTATAATCTCCTCTTCACAACAGTATGTTTCAAACCAAACCTTCTCACTCGAGACTAAGCTACAGGAATCTTTGTGATGAGAATCAATAAATGCAAACCATGACTTGTGTGCTGGAATGGGAGGAGTGAAAAAGTAGTGATTTTGATGTTCTCATGATAATGGGGATGGTGGCTCCAACAACATGTCAGCCAGGCAGCACAACAGACTGTAGGATGATTGCTATCATGCATGCAATCGCCTTGGGCACTTATAACTTACCCAGTCAAATCTCCACTTTCAGATCTCTAAACCTGTCTCCTCCAACAAAGCTGTAGGGAGCTTCATCTACCAAGAGCACCCTAAAAGCTAAATATTGTTTCTGGTGGCTAAAACCTCAGAAAATAGCCCTTGTTTTTTTCCTTATTCCCTCTACTTCAAGGCTCTGGCAATGTGTCCCCATCCTTCTATCGAAATATCATATAAGGAAGGGACCCAGAAAAAAAAACAGTATTATTATTTTAGAGGCAGGATCCCTGTAGTACAAACTTCCCCTGCAAGGTAAGTGTTCTATAAACCCATTGGTATCAGTTGTACATCCCAAGTGGCAATCAGGTGACTGATTCTTCCACAATGACAATATACCTGCTCACATAGCACTGAGTGTTAAGCAGTTTTTGACAAAAAATGGCATGGCCTCTGTGACCCACCCTCCCTAGTTATCTGATCTCATTCCAGGCAATTTTGTTTTGTGTTTCCCCAGGTGAAAAAAGTCCCCAAGGGAAAGGTTTTGCCATGTGGAAGAGGTGAAATAAAAAAAGTTAGTACAGAGAGTTTAGGCCTCTTGTACTCAACTTTGCCCTGCAGCATATATATTAGTAGGTGTGAGAAGTTGGGCAACTTACACTTTCTTCGTCCATTAAAGTGCAGATAATAATGGTTACATTAATACTTCTCTTATTCCGAATTAAGGGAGCTAGTCCCATGCAGCATATGGTCAAAAATCAGCATGTACTGATTGCATATCTTAATTTTGACATTTATGTTGATATTGTCTGGCATGGCTAGATTGACTGAAGCTGAATGAACATTCTAAACTGCTTGTCATTAGATGAAGGAGGCAAAAGAAATGCACGCTTCCGATTAATAGTAGAGAGGGGGCAGATATCACACAGTATCTGGTGCTAATAACAAAATACTGAGCTATGTAGTTGCTTACATCAGTGGTCCAATGGGATACAAATCAGGAAACTCAGCAAAAAACCAGGTCACAGCAATTCTAGACAATAGCAGACCATCATAGTAGCTAAAACCTATCTATACTAGTCTACTAGTTTCCAGACGCTGTGCTAGAAAGAAATTTTTTTTGAGTTGAAGTCTGACTCTGTTGCCCAGACTGGAGTGCAGTGGCATGCTCCCAGCCACCACAGCCTCGACCTGCTGGGCTCCAGCGATCCCTCAATCTCAGCCTTCCAAGTAGTCGGAATTACAGGTGTGCACTCCCATGCCCGGCTAATTTTTTATTTATTGTAGAAATGAGGTCTTGCCAAGTTGCCTAGGTGGATTTTGAACCCACGGACTCAGGCAATTCATTCACCTCAGCCTTCCAAAGTGCTGGGAATACAGGCTGAGCCATCGAGCCAGGCCATGTGATAGAAAATTTTAAGAATATTTCATTTAACTAAATCTACCAGATAAATACCATTACTATCCTTCTGTTAAATATGAGAAGTAAGGTATAAAGATGTTCACAGAATTGCTTACATAGCTTTTGAGTAGGGGAACCAGAATTGTGGTCTACATGATCTGTTGCCAGGGCCTACGTCTTTAACTATCACCCTGAATTACCTCCTAGTGACCCTGGCAGGTAGTATTTAGATATCTGGGTGGGCATTTGAGTGTCTTCCTGGGACATCAGGAATGGGTTTCAAAGCCATAGACACAAATATTTCCTTTGAGAGAGGGTTGATGTCCTTATTCATGGGTGAGCAGAATTCAACGTTTATACCTATCAGAGTTATGTTGTTCTAGCCATGAACATGGGATTTTTTTTTGAGTCAGCATCTCACTTTGTCACCCAGACTGTAGTGCAGTGGCACAATTATGGTTCACTACAGCCTAGACCTCCTGGGCTTAGGCTTAAGCTATCTTTCCGCCTTAGCCTCCTGAGTAGCTGGGACTACAAGTGCACACTGTTATGTCTTACCAATTTTTTGATATTTTGTGATGTTGACTAGGCTAGCCTAGAACTTCTGGGCTCAAGTGATCCTCCTACCTCAGTCTCCCAAAGTGCTGGGATTACAGGCATGAACCGCCATGCTCAGCCCACAATATCTTGAATCTTGTTATATGCTGTCCATGTTATAGGAAAATTTTTATTATGCAAAGTTTCATCAAAGTACAGAAATTGATGGAAATAAAACATGCTAAGTTTTTATTAAAGAAGATGTTACTTTAGAGAAATGCAAATCAAAATCACAATAAGATACCACTTAACTCCAGTAAGGACAGCTCTCATCAACAAAGCAAAAGACAACAGATGCTGGCAAGGGTTCAGAGAAAAGGGAATGCTTCTACACCATTGGTGGGAGTGCAGACTACTTCAGCATCTATGGAAAGCGGTATGGTGATTCCTAAAAGAATGAAAAATTGGCCTTTTATATGATTCAGCAATCCCTCTCCTGAGAATATACCTGGAAGAACATAGTTCATTCTACCAAAAAGACATCTGCACATGAATTTTATAGCTGCATTATTCACAATAGAAAAAACATGAACTCAACCTCACTGCCCATCAAAAGTGAACTGGATTAAACAATGTGATATATATACATGATATTATGTGAATAAAGAAAGTGATATATATATATATATGTACATATATATATATATAATGCAGCCATGAAGAAGAACAAAATCATGAAATTCACAGTAAATTAGATAGAGTTGGAAGCTATCATACTTAGTGATCTATCTCAGAAAACAAAGAACTGAATACCAAATGTTCTCACTCATAAGTGGGACCTGAACTTTAATCATGCTTGCATAAAAGAGGGATCAGCAGTGGATGGACACTGCCAGGGGAGGGAAAGAAAGAGGGATGGGGTATGTTCATCACAAAGGGTACCTGATCCTTAGCCAGGGGAAGTGAGGGCTAGTTGGAGTTCCAAATTTCACCTGCACAGAACCTGCATATGTATCTAATCCTGACTTGTGCCCCACATATCTATAGTAATAAAAAAATGTTACTGTCATTTAGAGGATTTTTTGAGGCAGTTGAGTAAAGATGATGTTATTGAGAAAGAAGCATTGAATACAGAGAGATTTTAAGAGACCTAAAGGGAGTCATGTGTTGGAAAAGGATCAAATAAGAGACAAAAAGAAATGTTGGTTCAAATAATGGGCATTCGCAGAGAGGAGAGAAACAGAGAGTATGCTAGACTTGATATGAGAGCTTTAAAGTCTTTGGAAAGAGCAGGAACTCAGACTCTTGTAGGACCTGGAAACAGATGATACAGGGACCAAAATGAACAAGTAAAGGACTCAGTAAACTGTAGAGTGCTGAATGAATATGAAGTATTTTCATAGCCAGTGGCAATGTTAGCAGGATGCACAGGAGACTAGAGAGGAAAAGAGGGTGTATTTCTCTTTATGGCCTATAAATGTAATACCTCTTTACTCCTGTTTTACTTTTATTGCTCATTTTATTTTTTTTAGATTGGAATATATAGTTTATTTCAAATGTAAATTAGAGAGAGAGAGAGCAAGAGAGCGAGAGAGTGAGAGAGCGGGAGAGCAAGAGAGCGAGAGAGAGAGAGAGAGAGAGGAGGTTCATCTCCCCAAGGTAGGGAAGGGGGCCAAAGCCTGGGAAAGCATGGCCTGGCCAGAGCTCAAACAGCCCATGACTAGCCCAGAGCTTAGCAAAGAATGGCCTTGTTTTAAAACTGGCTGACCACATGCAAAAGATTGAAACAGGACCCCTATCTATCCCCATACACAAAAATTAACTCCAAATGGATCAGGGACCTGAATATAAAACCTCAAACCATAAGAACCTTAGAAAATTAAGGACATGCCCTCATGGAAATTGGAACTGGCATCCAATTCCTGAACAAAACTCGAAACCCACAGGCCATAAGGGATAAGATAGACAAGTGGGACCTCATTAAACTGACAAGCTTCTGCAAAGCCAAAGAAACCATCAAGA